CTCTCTATCTCTCCCTATTTCCCTTCGTCTATCTCTCTGCCTATCTCTCTTCCTCCGTTTCTCCGTTCCACACTCCCTTCCCTGTCTAGCTGTTCCTCTCTGTCCCTCTCCCTCTCCCTCTCTCTCTCTCTCTTTTCTCCATCTACCTTCACGGGCAGCATTAGGAATGGCGAACACGCCGCCGTGCAGAGGCTACGTGAGCCGCATGCGACCACCCCCGCCCCCAACCACCCATCCTTCCCTCGTCTATGTCATGCTTGGTGCCAGCCAGTATGGCCGCCAACTCATACAACCTTCTCCTCTTTTCCTCCCTTGACCTCTCTCTCTCTTTCGTCCTTATCCACCTCCTCTTTTCCCAGCCATGCTAGCTCGCCGCTTCTTTTCCCTTCTCCTCTTCTCTTCTTTTCGCCGTTCGCCGTGGCCACCTCCGCGCCACCGCCTTCGTCTCTACCCTTCTTTCCTCTTCATCGAACTTCTCCTTTTTCCACGGCCCGTGTTCCCTCGCTGTGCTGCTATCTTTGCCCTTCCGGCTCGCGCATACGTGCCAGCCTCACGTGCATGCCTGTGTCTTATATGTCTTCCGCTTCATTTCACCCACCCCGCGCCGCCACCTATCTCTTCTACGCCCCGGCTTCTTCGTTCCTTCGTCTTTCGCTTCGACTACCTCCCCGTCGCCACCCTACTCTCCCCCTTTACCGTCTTTTCGTCTTTTCGTCTTTTCGTCCCTGTCTAGCCTCCACCTAGCCTCCACCTAGCCTCCTCCTACTGGTCCTGCTTTAGCTTCCATCAACATCCCCGCGAACGAGTCACGCTTACAACCACGATTCGTAAGGGAACGTACAAGCAAGCTACACACTCACCTGTGAGAGTCCAAGGTAAATTGAGACGGTCTCGGATATGTACAGGAACCGTCCATCAGCAGCGACCGCCATCGCGAACCCGTCCAGCGACTGAAACAGAAAATATGGGAGCAATCGCTCTTCAGGCTCTTTCTATCTCCTTCCTTTCCCTTCCTTCCCTTTCTTTTTTCTCCCTTTTCCTTTTTGCCGCCGGGACCAACCTAGCATCCCGACTGCTTCGTGATCACTTCCAGCCCCCTGCAGCCAGTTTCCGGGATACCGTGTCTGAATCTTTGTCGGAATTTTCCCTGTCGCTGGTTTCGCTCGGACTTTTGATCGTAATTCGGTGCCCCCGTTATTTATTATGCTTATTTCGAAATATTTCCCTCGGATTGCCTGCCGAGTTCCGCAGATCGTTATGCAGATCGTCGAGTTCTACCGAGAATCGTGTCCGAGGGAATTCCGACTGATTGATGTCGCGAGCAAAGTTTTTCAGAGACTCTTTTTTAAGGATACGAACGCTTGTATAGTCGGTAAATAATTCGCGACGAAAGATCGGAATATCAAAGAGGCTGGAAGTGATCGGTGTGCTTACTTCTCTGGTCGCTGTCAACACGGTTTGACAGTTTTCTGAAAAGAAGCGATTTCTGTCGAGGCAGGATCAGTCGTTTCGCGCAAGGCTGATGAAATCGGTTCTCCTTTGATCCCAGATAACTTTTTAGTTTTGATACAAAGACGGAATTGCATACTCACTTGAAGTATGTGGGTACCCTGATGTACATCGAAGTGGTCCATCGCGGCGGATGCTGATGACCTCACTCGATTCGCACCTGGAATCAGAAATATCGCTATCGTGTACGTGAATCCCGTGTTATTGAACGCGATGATGGATGTCCAGTTTCCATTTGAATGCCTCGGTTCAAAGCAATTTACCATTCTATTTTCCTTCGAGTTAAGTTTAGACGCTTCCGTAAAGAATATGACAGATCCATAGTGATCGCGCAACGATATGTATGTTAAAGATAAATTTGTATTCGTCGGCTAACATCAAATTGCATATTGCCATGCATATAGCGAACGATGAATAGTAATGAACAAACGGAACCCGATAAATCAACATTCCACGGGGGTTTCTCGCCATCACCCATTTCTGGCATAGATCTCGTTGAAAAAGGAAAATCACGTGAATCGAAGGAACAATCGTTCGATTATGAACGATCCTTCGATCAAAGATTCATAGAACCTTACTAGAACCCTAATTATTTATTTCTCATAAATTCAACGGAGCTCTGGAACGAATCAACCCTCTTCCCCCATAGGTTCCTCAACTTCGCGACAATGACAGTTTTCTCGCTTAGATCATACGTGGAATGTTCATTTGTCCACAAAATTAAGAAAATGCGTCTGAAACAGAGACAGAAGAGCGATAATCCCTGTTCCAATAATCCCATCCCCTACTGATCACCCAGAATCTCGAATCACGAAAGCGGACGGGTGAGCAAAGAGTTAATAAAGAGTTTGGCCGATGGAATTGATCGACGTTCACAGATCCAGGCTACCTTCGGCTTATTCTGACCATTGTGACTCACTCTCCCTGGGCTAACCCCGAAGATAGCCTTCCAACCATGCCACCGGTGACCCCTTTGCGTCTTCTTTCTCCCCTCGTTTAACAAACAAGACGTTCCTGCTTCTTGCCCGTAATAATAAACCCGGCCATCCTCTCTCTCTCGGGGACGTCGTAATGAAAGACTTAGAAGACTCGATCAAACTCGACGCGAGACGCTTAATCTGCTAAGCCCCGTGGAGCAGGAACGAGTCCAAGTGGCTGGCTAACTGGCCGGATTGATCAGCCTCTGGCTTTCGCTATTCGGTCAACAAGTCCGTTCTGATATTTCGGACCCGGATCCCCGAATAATCCGGTCGAACTTTCGCCAGCCCGACGAAAGCGTTTCCTCCGGCGACGACGCGGACTGTTCGCTTCGTTTCGACGACGATTCGTGAATACCGATTAAACTTTTACCGATCGACGTCCCTCGCTTCGCTTCGGGCACGTTCGTTTACACGAAATCGCGGGATTCTTGGCCTTCGAGAGGCTAATGGGGGTTGCTCCACGAGAGCTCGATGGATCGTCGCAGTGAAACCATGTTGTGCAATTGTCAGTGGAATTGCTGCTCCTTTTATCCGGCTTTCAGGAGGACTCTGATTGGGGTTGAATAAAGATTCGTATTTTAACTGTCAATCGGTGTGAATGGATCGTCGGTGATGATCAGGGGTTGCTTACTTATATCCCGTACTTCGGACGGTAGAAATTATCGGTGGATCTTACGGAACACAGAGATTTAATTGAAATTGAAGATTAAAAATACGCGATTGTATTTTAATATCGAGAAATTTGTTAGAACGCGTCGATTGTCTCGGTTAAGGAATTTTCACAGGTTCTTGGAGATTCGAACGAGGTAAGTTATTTTCAGTAGAGCCGAAGCCACAATCGTCGTCACAATATTTTGACAAGTATTCGAACCAAGCATTTTGCCCGGCTGTCCAGCACGGTGGCTCGCAGATATTTCCTCGGGGATGATGGAAAAATACACAGGCTGTCGGCGTGATCAATTTAGCGAAGATGTAATGCGGTATTTTTTCACGACGACGAGTGTTGAACGAACAATGTACGGCAAGACGTTTGTTATTGTGCGAAACTGGATTTTCGCGACGAAAAAATGTCATCTTTTACGGTAAAGAGCTAAAGAGCTTTCGGTGTTTCTCGTGTGAAATGAAAATTTCGTCGAAGATAGATTAATTCCGTTAGAGAAGGTAACGCGGAGATAATCGCTCGTGCCGAGCAGATGAAGTTTCCTTAAGAAACTCCGACTATGAACCTTTTCTAATCTAGTACGCGAAGGTAGCAGAGATTACGACAACGGAAAACACGAGGATCCAGAATTGGTATAGGGTCCAAGGGGGTGGCGCGAGTAAACGAGCTAAGAAGCGTAAAAGGCCAATTTAAAATTGCATCGGACATTCCGTGTCGTGTAAGGACTCTAAAACGCACGTCGTTTGGAATGCACTCCGCCAATTTGGATCGCTTTGCCAACTTCTGGGTGGTTTTACTGGAAACGATGGACCCGTTTCAACTTTGTAAGTGAAATTGCCATCCACAGGTTTCCCTCGTTTCCGTATTATTGTTTAAAATTGGCGAGGCTGTGGAATTTCTAGGCAAAGTGTGCAAGGAATCCCATATCGTCCCGATGAACCTCTCGCCGGTACGAATTTATAACGCGCAATAAAAGACAAGAGCGACGTCAGAAATTTTACAGTCCTCCATTCACCGACCATTCGAAATTAACGCTATTATTCGCTACGCCACTCTCGAGATAGCCCGCGAAACGAATTAACATTCGCGTGTGTATAATGCCGAATAATATCTATCATCCATATTCGAAAATGAAAATCGAAACGAAAATAGCCACTCGCGATTACGCCAAGTCGAGGCCAAACTCCACGCACCGTTACCACCCCTTTCTCTCCGTCGAAACGTAACGCGAAGGGCAGAAACAAAGGGACCACCGGCACCGGACGAGAAAGAGAAAAGTGGAATTAAAGCGAGTGACTGTGCCGTGGAGAGAGGAGGTGGGGGCGGGAGAGAAGAAAGAAAATAAATCAACCGACGTGTCTGGAAATCTTTAACGCATTTTACTTCGTTAAGTCGAGAGGTCTCTCGTTCCAGTTGTGCCAGTGACATGCGGCGAGGGTGAACCGGCCGCGGTGGATTTAGTTTGACGAGGAGCTGCGGCAGCGATGTGCGGACGGTGCCTAACTCAATTTCGTTAGTTTAGTTACATTGGCGGTTGGTAACGCGAGGCCCACGCAGAGGGTTGCCGTGATTAGATTTCCATGTAGGTAGTGGTGCAGCCACCTAAGCCTTTATGTGTGCCGCTTTATATGTACGCTGACAGCCCTCTGTCCCATCCTCACCCCTTCCTCTCTGTCTCGCTACAGCCCCACGACAAATATTAACTCAACCAGGTCGCACCCCACGATTCATCGAAAGTAGAGTCGATGAATAAGTGAATTCTCTCGACGACCGTCACCTTATTTTCCTTCTTCTGCCTCGTTGCAGATTCTTTCCAGTAGCCACGATCTCCCATCTCTGAACGGGGGGTTCAGGGTAACGCGGAGGCGAAGGGTTGACGCAGGAAAGGGAAACGAAGTTTTTCGCGAAAGATAGCGAATTGGCACTGATGACGGAGAATCGTGGAATCGGTCGATGATCGACGAGAAGGGGTGAGTCGATGGAGTATCCGATCTAAAATAGTCCTCCCCTAGGTTGTTCCTAGACATTCCACGGATCTGGATGAGTTATTCTCGTGTTTATTAAATATCGAAGAACGGTGAAGAATTTCCTCGTATTCGAAATCTACTCTATACGATGTTCAACGTCGACGTATACCATCCGATCTCTGGCTCATCGACACGGATGAACGGGGATGTCTCTCGGCGTTCGGATGTTCCTCTGACCGAGGCGAAAAGTTGTCCAGAAGCCCTTCCATTTCCGTTAAATGAACCAAGAAAATGAAGAAAGCCAATGGCGATGCTATCGCTCGATTATAGCCGACAATTCTCTATTACTATGTATCTGCGGATCTCGTGCTGGCTGCGTGGTCACTCTCCAGTTATAAAGGATATCGCGGGGCTCGATCTATTGCCGGGTTGCTTGCGCGAATTCTTAAGGAGACCTTTGTCCGGTTAATTCGATACCGGTGTACCGTGAATTTCCATCGAAATTCAACGCCCAACCTCCACCACCCTTACCCTTTATCACGATCGGTCAGCGATACTACCCGGTTCCAGCACGGGGGTACCATTGCAATTAATTTGCGACGAAGCTGAGATTGGCTCGTTGTTTCTCTGATTAGATGGCGTTTAGGGAAATAGTTTTATTTTTGTTTGCGATGGCTGGATTCGCGGCACGATAATTTTACCATTCTTTCGTTCGTTGGTTAATCGGATGTTAAGGGTAAACGAGGTCTACGATAGCGGTGATACGTTCGCGTGGAATATTACCGGGGTACGAAATTTTTAGAAATTACCTTCTACGATATTTACTTGGATTTTTATTCCGATCGTTCGAATAGTTTGATCCCGTTGATTTTTCTAAGGGAGGTTTCATTTTCGCGTGTTTTAAATATCCGCGGGTTTCGAATCGTCATCTCGATGACAGATTGGTCTCGCAGGGCTGCTTTCACCCCCAAAGACACGTTTTACCGCGCGACTACACGCTCGTCGATCTTCAACAGCGAATTGACTCCCCTACCGGGGGTTAAATACTGATCCATCAGCAGATATCACTGGCAGATACACTTTCTAATAAGCGGGGGTCTGCTGTTTCCACATTGCAGCCACGTTAGACCTTTCACGAAGAGGGTCGAAGGAATATCTCTTTTCCAGGGACAACGATCGCGTTCTTCCTGTTCGCTGAGCAGTCCATAATATTTAATTAAACGATCTATCTAAACGAATTCTCAACTCCTTATGAAACGAGCCGAAGTATTTCTGTGAAATACAGAAACGCAAACGTCCCTGATTAAAAATCCCAACAAATACAATCATCCCCTTTAGCACCAGAAATATCAGAGATTTTCCACCGTTGCTTCTATTAAACGTGCCATTACATCTCGATATCTCGAAAATAATCGGAAAAAATCCATCTCCTATGATTTCTGAATGAAGAAAATTAATTTATAAATTATTTCGACTCGATTCACTTGTTTGATCTTAAGATCTTCGACTATGGCAACAGATACGAACGCTATATCGATAGGTTAATAACGAGCTTCTTACCTTTGCCAGATTTATTTGGCGGTGGCCCATCCCGATTCCATGGCGGGTCCCCGTGACCCGAGAACTCCCGAAGTTTGAGGTACGAGATGGTTAGCCTTATTATAGAGGCTTTGTCCAACTGGGAGGTAATAGCCGCCGGTAATGGCAGCATTTTCGCTAACTCGTAGAACTCGAAGTTCTCCTTCCCCCTTCGAGACCTGGCAGCGTCTCTACTCTTCTCCTTGCGCAGCTCGAGGATGCTGTAACAGACAGAGAAGAGAGACCGGAGAAGGTTAGACGAGCAGGAATCTCGTGGTACGGATAAATCTAATTCTTTTTTCCGCTTTTTCCTTCGCAGTCGCGGCTTCGATCATGTCGGAACGTTCGCTTTTATACGACGTAGAACGGAAGGGATCGGCCTTAATTTTGCAACGAGACGTTCGAGACGACTTCGGGCGCGATTCATCGCGAGATGGAGTATAATGGCGGCGAGAAATTCCGTGTTCTTTTTTGAAAAAGGCGCGTTATTCGAAATTATTAATTGTTTACGCGAAATATTTTGTAGATTCGTATATTTGAGAATTTTCCTGATGTAAAACGTGTGATAGTGGTTGTCATAGAATGTGTGGTATGAGTGTGAGGAATGTTTGTGCGGAAGAATGTGTGTGTGTGTGTGTGTGTGTGAGGAGTATGACAGAGAGTACAGAAACAAACAGTAGGTGAATGACAATCATTATATATAGACGTTGTGTGTGAAAGAGTCCTCGAGAGATTATATCGCAGTTAGAAGCGAATTTATTTTACAAGACTTAGTTATAATTAATGTTGTGCCGTTATTGTGTCTAATAAATCATCTTATTAGTTTATCCGTTTACTCGCAAAACGTACTCGATGTAAATTCATCTTCAGAAATTATAGACTTTTTCGAACGTGGTTGTGAGAGAAATTCTATTTCTCTTTTATTTTTCTGATAGAGATACGTTGCGCGAAATAATTAATTAACCTTTTGCATTGCAATAGCGAGTGTAACTCGTTACGAGTTCTACCTACATCGCACGACCATAATTACAATTCAATATATTTAACTTGCAGAAAATTTCAAGGATTCTTAAAATAATTTATCCATTGGGCGTAATGAATGTATAGGGGTTAGTTAAAATTAAATTCCTCATCGATTTCTCCAAGTTCAATCGTAGTGAGAGGGGTTGAAATACTTCGTGGACCTTTGCAGCTCGAACATTGGCGATTTCCACGAATAGAATTATTATCAGAGGAATTTCCCGACGTCAGGTACACTCGATATAAATTCATCTTCGGGGATATTATTTTACACTATCCTTTTCGTTCGTTTGATAACGAAGTATCGTTAAATCCTCGTTTCAGATTTTAATCCGCATAGTAGGATGCTTAAATAAACGACTTCCTCCTTATTCGGCTTTCGTTTTCCTTTACGGCTAGTGAATGACGCGAAGGAAATCACGATATTCCTTGCAATGTTCCCAAAGCGCTGGTGCTTTTACAAGTTTACGACAAATCGAAACGTGTAACCGTTCACGCGTCCGGAATCGAAACAATCTTCGGCTGTTGTCCGAAATTCAATTACATATTTGTTGCTATCATAAGGTATTCGTTTCGCGTAGTCCTTCCGCAAGGACTCCAGTACTTGATATGCCAGCAGCGAATTAACCGCTCTGCCGGAATCGCGTTACAGCTATTGACCTAGAGTACGTAGCACCCCAGGGTGACTGTTCCTTTCCGATTCCACGGCAACCCGATGTAGGTTAATCGATTTCCAGCGTACGTTTCGAACCTGCAGCCAGATCTGCCGACAATTAGTCGTTACAAAAGGAAAGAAAAATTCGGAAAGCACCTCGTTACGACGAATCTTCGTTTTCCTGGTGTTCGAAACATCCCTATTATTTTCTCCCATTTTGGCACCCCCTTGTTACATTTTTCATATAAACTATAGAAATTCGGAGGGTTTCAAACACGTTTCCCAAGTATTTTAGAAACAGTGTTTCCACAGATTTTTCTCGGGGTGAGAAAATGTTGGAATCATTATCATGCGATACAGGCTTAAGCCCTATGAGCTTCTAAAAACTCTTAGACCTTCTCTTAAACTAGAGTAGTTAATTTTACAGGATCGCCCTGGAGTCATTCGGTCTAGTCCCAGAACCGAGGTCGTACAGTAAGACTACGCATGTACATACCGTTTTATATCTATCATTATCACTGCACACGCGATTCCAGTACAGTACATTCTCGAATACAGAGTATCAAGCACATACATAAAGTGTTCTTGCCAACGAAAAAAATTAATATTTATTTCTTCACGGGCTGATTCCTTGTATACATTTCCTCAACAGTGGGTTAGTGCAGAATTAGTACAGAATTAAACTGTTTTAAGAAGATGACATGAAAAGGAATCCAATGATACGGGAAACTGATACAATGAGCATCTTGACGAATGAGAATATCGAGTCTGCTAGAAGCTGGCCTATGTACCCATTAGGCTATGTAGAGATAGAGGATCAAAGGATAATACAGGTAATCCTCCTATAACACGGTAGATAGGTTCCTAGAAAATGCCGTGTTGTGTGAAACCGTGTTGTATGAAACCCAGACACGGTACAAAAAGGGGGATTACGTCCTGAAAATGTACTAAAAACAAATTCTTTTTAATTCTACATAAACAACTTAATACTTATTAAAAATATAAATGTGTGTACAACACAAAACAAAAAAAAAGGAGAAAAATATTATTTTAATTTAACGCAACTTTAATTTAATAAATTTCTTCGTCGTCACTGCTCATATAGAAGTACAGTGTTGTACAAAGGTTTTTGCAATTTTCTTATTGTGTTAGAGCGAAACCGTGTTATAGGATGTCGTGTCGTAGGAGGGTTCCCGCAATTTATGAATCGCGTTATAGTGAAACCGTGTTATATGATACCGTGTTGTAGGAGGGCTACCTGTATATCGTTGTTTAGTAATTTGCGTGTGAAATTTAGTCTCACTCGCATCTCGGTATAGTGATGTAATGACATAGGTACAAGTATGTAGGTACATGGGCAGCCAATCGGAAAAACCTGTGCTGAACATTCCAAACGAAATTATTAATATCCAAAGAACAGACTACCCGAGAAACACCCAACACCTGTCAAACTTCCTCCGACACGTACAGTCTCTTCCGAGATCAGTCGATTTCTCGCGAGCCCGAGCGAAGCGACAATTATTCTTCGATTTGCCCGCATTCGGACGAAACACCTTTCTAGTGAATTGGAAAGAGGAAAATAAGTAATTACCCTGAAGCAGGCACCGACAATTGGCAGTTGGATACGAGACCATAGGCGTGGCGGCTCGTGTCCACGATCGCAGAGCAAACGCGCGGCAAAAGCGGCCACCCGCTCGGCCGGCATACATTATTCAAACGCTATCATGCTTGTGTTTGCTGACATGCCAGTCGAATGTATCTGGGTGAATGTCGAAGTAACATTAACCACGCCCCGTGGACGGCCCCCCGATTCCGGTTTTGCATTTAAACATTAAACGCTGACCAATAGGAACGTAATCCGCATTATTCGAAACCCGTTCCTCCCCCTACTTGTCACGGTCATTAACCTTTTGTTAACCAGGGTGGAATCGGACCCGGCGGATCGACCTGTCCCGTCCAAATCTGTCCCATCACCGCGAATTAGTGGCCGTGCCACGTTATTTTCGCGCTGCGCCCTATATAATAGGGGTTGCAAAATAAGTTCCGCTTCGGAGGCCATAAAATTGTCTACGAAACGACGGATTAATCGTAATCATCGCAAATTCCAGATAAGACGATTTATTAACCCTTTCGCCACTACGGGTGACTATAGTCATCACCGGCCACGAGACGTCATCCACACACAACGGGTGACTAGAGTCATCGGCGACAAAACTGGAGTAAAAGACAGGTTGAGTTTAAGACAAGTGCTACCGTTCCTCTTCGCCCTCTTCGCAAGGAATTGCAAGCTTTATTGCAGTTTAAAAGAGTTTAAGACAAGTGCTACCGTTCCTCTTCGCCCTCTTCGCAAGGAATTGCAAGCTTTATTGCGATGGTCAGTTTTTACATCTTTCTTCGAAAGATTTGCGTAGAAAGACCGAATGCTAAAGATTGCACTATCGTATTGTTACCATTTTTGACACGTCGCTTCGAAAGGGTTAAGCAACCCCCTGCGCGACGCGAAAAATTACGTATCGGAGAAGTATTCAACGTCAGCGAAGCGTTATGCATGTTTCCTTCGGTTTGACAACGTTTAGCATTCGTGACAATTTTGGGCCTGTTGAAGTACGTGGAAGAGAATTTCAGATGCATGGGGTAGTGCGAGATATTCGTAAATTTTAATTATTAACCCCTTGTACTATAACGACGAATCTCAATGTTTGTATTAATTCGAAAAATATCGAAAATTTTATAGCGAACGAAGTAAAGGTGTAAGGTCTAATTGGAGTCAAGTTCTTTTTCGATATACGATCTTTTATAATTAAATCGCAGCACCGTGGGTCAACGTTTGCATTAGAAATAATGTTTAATTACTTATTACAGACTGGCAGGTCCAGTGTTAAATTCTGTAATGGTTTCGGAAGTTTAATTCCAAGTTTCGATATCGAGGTGTGCATCGGATCAAGATAAAGTGGATGGAATTAAATAGAAAAAGTTTGGGTAGCGCGCATAGGTAATAAAGGGTGGCTGTGTCTGTGAAAGTGACTGAATTGCAATTTCATAATTTTATGAGGCACCGGAGCGGTTGAATGAATTAAACATGGAGAGGTAATCCAATTTGAGCCTTGGATGATCCTTAACAACCACCTTGACACACATAAAACTCTACATTTTAACGTGCTCCCTGTCATTAATTCGTATTGAGCAACTGGTCGCGTCTATAAACTACTGGAATTGGATGTATAATATATTCGTTGTATCAATATGGAAATTTTCTCGACGCCTTAAGACGACTTACAGCCACTTGCCTGCGAGTCAAGCACTCGTCAGATTAACGACACTTTCTGCTTTGCCAAGTAACCATGATTCCTATGGCCAAGTAGGTTCTAATTCGTGGACATTCAAATCTAGCTGCGAAGATGATGGAGGCATATACTATACTCTTTAATGACGACAAAAATTGACTTGTCCCAACTTTTAATCAGAAATTCCTAAACTTAACGTCAAAAAGCTTTTCCAATTTACCTACGTTACGACAGATCTTCGATCTTTACGACAAAATTCTAT